TATAACATACGAAATGGCCGAATATTTTGAAAATCGGAGAATAACCACGCCCACATCCCATATAACGGTAATTTAGAGAAATACGAAATCTTCGATAAATCAGTAAATATTAAAGCTAATTTATTAAAAATTGATGCTTCCAACATTTCTTTACCAAGAAATACGGTTATGATAAAGTTTTGGAAAATGGGCGTGGCACCGCCCACTTATGATCACATATATGTATCTCGGTAACCGTTCTACAAATTTGTACCAAACTTGGTGTGGTTATTGTGCTTGCCACATAGAAGAACAACGTTGAAAATTATTGAAATCGGACTAAAATTACGACCGCTTTTCATATAACGGTAAATTTCGAAAATGCTTGAAACTTCAATATTTCAAAATTTAAGGACGCTAATTTACTCAAAATTGATACACCCGGCTTACCATGTAGCGGTAGCTTTCGGAAAGGTGAAAAACATATATGTATTTAATACTTGCGCCGGGTATTTAATGTTCGGCTCCGCCCGAACTTAGACTTTCTTACTTGTTTTAATTGCCTTTGAAGATATCGTTGAACTCCTAAATAAACAAAAACACATACACTTCTGTTTATACGCAGATGACCTCTATGTAATGTGCAATAAAAAAGATCCGAATGACATTCGATCTATTTTTCAAGACGTTTTAAAAAATATCCATACGTGGTCCAAAGGGTCTGGCGCTAAACTTTCCTTACAAAAACGTAAACATTTCTATGCCTGCAGAAAGTTAAATTTTAGCTTGTAAATTGTTAATTGTAGAGCAGATATTAAAGTTAACAATACAGCAATTGAAAATACAGACAGCCTAAAGATATTAGGGTTGTACTTTGATAAAAGAAATACATTTAATCAGCATTGTATTTACATTAAGCAAGAGCTCGCCTCCAGACTCAATGTATTAAAATATCTTTCTTCCAATAAATCTCATATCCACACTAACACACTCCTAAATTTTACAAAGCTTACCATCCTCTCAAAAATTGACTATGGATTGCAAATTTATGGCAAGGCATCCAAATCATCACTTACCAAAATCATGGGCGTATATCATGCTGCGATTCGTATAAGCCTGAGAGCTTTTCGATCAACTCCTATCAAAAATCTTCTAGCCGAAGGTGGTTTTTTTTCATTAGAAGAATGTGTTGTCTACGTTAGGACTCGTTCTGTTAACATGCTATGTTGCAAACGAAACTCAATTCTGAATAAAGAAATAAAGCTTTTGAAAACCCGGAAAGGTACTCTAACCATGAAATATGGGCTTGCGGAGATGATCGACATTCTGACATAAACCCAAAAATGGGCATTAAAAAATAACAATAGACATTTCGCTCCGCCTTGGATGCTTTCTCCTGAATTATTTCTAAACACACTTGAAGCATATCCCAAAGACTCAACCAGCCCACATATCTACAAAAAAGTTTTTTAAGAATCAGCTGCCCCACTAAAAGCTAATCATTGGAAATTTTTGTATACGGATGGCTCTAAAAACAGTAATGGTACGTCTTTTGCAGTGGTGTTTGAAAATGGTGAGGTAATATCAAATGGTATTTTACTAGAGCAAGCAACATCTTTCGAGGCTGAAGTTCAAGCTGTCCTAAATGCCCTGCAATATGCCACCAAAAAAAGTTGTAAATTTGTCATTTGCACAGACTGCAAAGCTATAGTCCATCACAACCATTAGGACCTACCTAATAAATTTCCAAAAAAAAGTGAAACTCATGTGGATCCCAGGACATGTCGACATAATAGGAAACGAGTTAGCAGATACAGCAGCCAAAACTGCTTAGATAGATAGATAGAGAAGGTGCAAATTTTTGGAACGTAAAATTGTTTGGCTGAAAAGTAAATCCATGGAATATCACCACATTGCGATTAACATTTGAACAAGAGTTAACAGCAAAAAACGTATATATTCTGTTATGATAATGTTATGTTATGTTGCAAGTGCCTGGCTGTGTTGCTAGGTTGCTGTTGAATGCAGAAACATATTCATGTATATGTTTTTATAAAATTAAATAAATTAAAAGTTAAATTATATGAATTGTACTTTTATATCAGTTAGCATTTCGGATCTTCATATACATATGCATGACCATTTGTTAAGTATAATTTATTGAGTAGTTAATATTGCTTTAACGACATAAAAAAAATCCAAAAACTCAAAAAGCATGTGTTCAAGTTCGCTTCTTGTACGAGTATATAGTATATGTATATATAAATATATATAATATATGTATATAGTAGGTAGTAAAAATGCATGTTAGTTGAAAAGAATTTTAAAATT